GACAGCCTGGCAGTGGAATCGGGCGGGAGCTGTGCTGCCCAAACCCCAAAAATAATATCTGTAAGCTTCTAACTTCAGGAAAAGCCCACTAGAAAGAACCATATAAGAGCACCTGCAGACATGACTGGATCTACTCTATAGCACCATTAACGACTAATGAATTTCTTTGCAGCCCCCACCCGTTATCCCTTCCCCTCTGGTGCTCCTCAGGGGAAGCGTGGCATGGGCTGGCCGCCCTCACCGTGGTCTTCTCTTCTCAGGTGGCCCTGGTACAGTGGACTGAGAGTGTGGGTTTAACGCTGGTGGGCAGAGACCAGTCCTCCGTGCAGCTGAGGACACCGGGTGGCCACATCCTGAACTTCACCATCCTCCAGATCTTCCCCTTCACTTACGAGAGCAAGCGCATGGGGATAATTGTTCGGGTAAGTGGCTTCGAGTAAGCTCTTACGTCTTTGTGAATCTCCTGGTAACACAACGTGAAACGTGTAAAACATTTGCTCTCGGCTCTGCTGTTCTTCCTGGCTCAGTTTCTCAGTCTCTCCTACCGCGGGCTATATTATGGTTCTCTGTTTTGAGCTACTAGTGTCTCGTTGCAGGGTTTTAGCGATCCATCCTTTTCTTGGGTGTATTTGGCAGTAAGTGCTGTAGTGCTCTGGGACTTCTTTAGTTTATTGATCTTTGGTCCCTTGCTCAAAATAACGAGGAGATGAAGCTTCCAGCTTCCTCCAGCTGCTCCGTCCCACTCACATTTTTAATTCGTGTGCTCCGGGCGGATTTCAGCCGTACAGCTCCTCTGTCCGCACGCGTCGGTTCCTGGAGGGTGTTGCTGGGGACAGTGTCAGCCTGGGGACAGGTGTCCCTGTCACCAACCATGAAAGCATGTCTTTGGTAGTACAGTGGAGCCTCCAGGATGGCGCTGGGAAGGAAGAGGGAGCTTGAGTGTTTCCTTCCAGCTGTGAAACTGAGGGTCCTGGGGATGCTGGAAAATGTTGAGAGAGGATTTTTGCTAGAAGTGCAAGGTGGAAGGAGACATAGGAGGGACTGGTGGGGCAGTAGAGCTCAAATCTGAATGTTTGGCTGTCAGTGTGCTGAACCAAGGCTCAACAACTTTGATAATCCATGGAGATGCTGTGTTCTTTCTTGGGTAAGGCTGTTATTTCAGGAAAGCTTGAAGCCAGCGCTGCCAGCAAAAGAAATAGGCATGGTTGCTCTGTCTCCTGGGACTTGAATTCCGTGTCCTCTCCCACAGCGGCTGACACAGCAAGAAGGAAGAGGAGCCTGGTAGGGGCAGGACTGCTCTCTGCGGGGCTGCAGGCACCAGCAGTGTCTCAGGGAAGCTCGAGCTGACTTTGAAGCCTTGCTGTGTGTCCCTGGGGTTGCCTTTTCATCTGTCCAAAGTCGACCCAGGTCACAAGTGCTTTACCTCCTTGGGGTCAGCCAGGAGTAGGAATCCAAGCAGGTTCATGAATCCAGTTTATACCGTGTCTCCAAAGCAGCTGTGGTGGTACAACAGGAGGTGATGGAGATGGCAGCAAGTGGGAAAGAGGAAGGGGATCCTGGACTGATGCCACAACAAATAACCTCAGGATATTAATAGAGGTGCTGTGGAAGTGCTCCCCAGATCTCTGCCAGGCATCAAAACTCCTGTTAGACCCCGCAGAAGTACAACACTGCAGGAGGAGGCACTTGTAGCTGCAGGGAACTGTGGACATTCTTTTTGAGCTGTTTAACAGAGCCCATAGCCATGCTGAGAACACGGAGTCATAAATAGTATGCATAACTTTGTGGGTTTATATACAAATACAGTATGAGATCTGACTCTCAGAAAAAAATTACTGTAAAAAGAAAGAAGAAAGTGTGGGTGTTAGAAACAGTTTAGATCAGTTGTCACCATTATCTTCATTAGTTTTCTAGAGAATCAATGTTAGTAAGACAAACAAACCCAGCTATGGTAAGGCACTTCCATTTGCCTGCGAAGCAAACAAGGTGAAGCAGTTTCAATGTTTATTTTGGAGATAATTAAAACATCCTTGTTATTTTTTTACTGAGAGTACAGACGGATAATTGGTACCAGGAATGTAAAACATGAATATGAAACCTATAATCCAGGGCGAGGTATGATTTGTTGTATCCTAGAATCATTTAGGTTGGAAAAGACCTTTAAGATCATTGAGTCCAACCATTAACCTAACACTGCCAAGTCCATTACTAAATCATGTCCCTGAGCGCCATGCCTACAGGTCTTAAATACCTCCAGAGATGCTGACTGAACCACTTCCCTGGGCAACCTGTTCCAATGCTTGACAACCTTTTTGATGAATTTTTTTCCTAATATCCAATCTAAACTTCCTCTGGCACAACTTGAGGTCATTTCCTCTTGTCCTGTCACTTGGTACTTGGGAGAAGAGACCGACCCTCATCTTGCTACAACCTTCTTTCAGGTAGTTGTAGAGGGTGATAAGGTCTACCCTCAGCCTCCTTTTCTTTGGGCTAAACAGTTCTAGTTCAGTCAGACGCTCCTTATAAGACTTGTGCTCTAGACCCTTTACCAGATTCATTGCCCTTCTTTGGACACACTCCAGCACCTCAAGGTCTTTCTTGTAGTGCAGGGCCCAAAACTGAACAGAGTATTCAAGGTGCAGCCTTACCACTGCGGAGTGCAGGGGGACGATCACTTCCCTAGTTCTGCTGGCCACGCTAGTTCTGATACAAGCCAGGATGCTATTTGCCTTCTTGGCCATCTGGGCACACTGCTGGCTCATACACAGCCAACTGTTGACCAATACACCCATGTCCTTTTCCACCAGGCAGCTTTTCAGCCTCCCTTCTCCAAGCCTGTAGCGCTGCACAGGGTTGTTGTGACCCAAATGGGATCTTCAGCTTTGTTATTTAGGGTGGGGAGAATAGGTAAAATTGGTGTTTTTTTCCTCCCCACTCCCCCATCTCCCTTTACTATGTGGTAAAACTGGGTTGCTGCATGATTATTCTGGGGTATCTGGAAATAGAGTGTAAAAATATCTTCTGCCTCATGTATTGTAAGTTACTACAGTAACAGTACAGTAGGAGGAGTAGCTTTTGTGTTTAGTTAGAAGCAGTTGGGATCAGTGTTTCACATGTGGGCATCATTGATAGCAGATTAATATGGCCTGCTTTATTGGCTGATGTTTGGTAGCTTCGCAGATCTCAACTTCTCTGGACCAGAAGAGCACAGCCCCTGTCAGAAACAGCACCGTGAATGGATGATGTAAAATGGAGCAATGCAGTGGTGGTATTTAACAGATATTATGGAGGACTTCAGTATTCGTGTTACCAAGAGATCTGGTGATAAAGATGAAACTATAATAAGTGCATATATTATTTTCGCAAACCCATAAAGGACAAGCTGTGTTCAGTGCAGACTGGAAATTGTTAAAGTTCATGCAAATGGCTGTATTTGTGTTATCCTACGTGAGTATTTTGGACCTGGATCTCCTGTTGCTCAAGGAACTGCCATTAAGTTCTGGACCATATACCACAGTATAATGTAGAGGGGACGAATTTGTATTTCAGGTTGTTCTGGGCTTTGGAGTATTAAAACATGCCCAAGGGCAGGAGTGTTAGTTGAAATGGGCTAATAGGCTGAGCTTGTGCAAAGTAATCAGCGTGTTAAATCTGTGAATCTGGAGATGTGGCTGAAGGTGTTTGAACGTGCACAGTCATACAGAGTCATCAGTGTTCCCACAAATGTCTCGTGCTGCGTGGGATGGCTGCAACAATCATAGTGCATATCTGTTTAAATACAGCAAGTGTCAATTCTTCAGATTAGTTATTTTATATATAGGCTGAGAGAGTTGGGGCTGTTCAGCCTGGAGAAGAGAAGGCTCTGGGGTGATCTTATAGCAGCATTCCAGTACCTAAAGGGGGCCTACAGGAAAGCTGGGGAGGGACTTTTTACAAGGGCATGTAGTGGTAGGACAAGGGGCAATGGATTCAAACTGAAAGAGGGGAGATTTCCATTAGATATAAGGAAGAAATTTTTTACATTGAGGGTGGTGAGGCACTGGCACAGGTTGCCCAGAGAAGTTGTGGATGCCCCATCCCTGGAAGTGTTCAAGGCCAGGTTGGATGAGGCTTTGGGCAACCTGGTGTAGTGTAGGATTTCTCTGCCCATAGCAGGGGGGTTGGAACTAGATGATCTTTAAGATCCTTCCAACCCTAACCATTCTATGATTCTATTTTTATAGTGAAAATGATGTGGAGACTTCAGGCAACCTTTTCGAGACCTAGAATAAGAATATTAGCAATAAAAGAGGGAGGGCTAAACAACCTCCCTCCCCATTGCTTACTCTAAGTGCAAACTTTTGCTGAGGTTCTGTTTTATCAAAGGTGTAAGAAGTGGGCTAACCATCAAAGCCTGGGTATGCTTCATTAAGTTGTGTTTATGTGCTCAGTAGAGAAGTGGATGCCCTGAAATTTTCTCATCTAAGTGAAAAGGAGTTGTTTTTTTTTTTCTCTTTGATTCGAAGCTTATTCCTTTTAAATTATCTGTTATCTATGTTCTCACCCTTTAGGAAGAAAAAAGTTTCTATTTTGCATTTCTGTATTTAGAATATTACTGCAGCCAAAACCAGCAAAACTCCCACTTGTGGTCAGTGGGAGCAACATCAGGCCCAGATCTCACTGCAAACACTGTTAATAGATGCATTGGCCCCTCTCTATTGTGCATGTTAAATGAGTGTCTTTATTTTGCAGCCATTGAGCTGCTGCTAAGCCACTAAAATCAGATCCCTGTATATCCTAAGCAGAAGTAAGTTTTGAGTAGCAGATGCTGGCTGCCTGGGTATTACTTTGCCATGTTCCTGCATATTCCAAAATAATATCTTCAAGCAGCGTTTTAATTTTCATTTAAAAAAAAAAGTGTGTCACTTCAAATGTGTTTGAAAGACAGAAATAAGGGGAGGGAAAGTAGCATGAAGTATCTAGAAGAAAACAGATGCAGTGAGCAGATGGGGAGGGAGGGAGAAGCTGCAGAGTGAAACTGCACTAAGGATTGTATGAGTAGAATTCAAATGATAGTATTTTGTGTTCAACTATACAGATATTGCCCTTTCGTATAGACTGCAGTCTTTTCGGCTAGGGGGAGCCGTTGCGATCGTCTTGCCAGGCTTCCTGTACGATCTGGGTGTTGGGTTTCAGCAAGGGATTCCTGTGTCCAGCCCAGTAAGGCTATTAGTGAAATCCTTGGCAGAGACACCCATCTGCCCTGCTGGTCCTGTCTGCTCTGGCTTCTATAAGATCTCCTTCAACACATAACTTTTACTAAATAAAGTCATAGTTAACGCTGAAAAAAGTAGCAGGTGTTGCCTGGTTTGGTGTATTTTTGCAATATCTGCCTGTTTACTTGTGATCAGCTGTGGTTTCTGTAGCTCATTATTTCAGTTCTAAGAAGTCTTGTTCTACCAAAGCAGCCACTCTTCACCGTACTGTTTACTGACTTATCTTCTTCTTGAAAGAAGGCTTGTTTGTTTGACCACAATATTTTCCATTCTTCTTTTTCTTTGCATTTTTTTTCCCCTTACCCATGTGGAATGATCTTTGTTGTAAAGCAAAGATAGCGCTATTGTCATATCTGGAATTGAAAGAAGCCTTTGAACCATGGCCAGAGTCAGACCACGGTGGAAAAAGATGCCTCTCCAAAACAATATAACTGGCAAATCTCTGTGTAGATTTATAGTGTGATCTTACCATAATATGAGAACGCACTAACCTCCTATTGAACTCAGTGAGAGGAAATGACTAATGCAAGGAGATAGCTGATACAGTATTTATATTGGACAAAAAATCTAAACTATCTTAAGCCAGTGCTGCAGCACGGGAAGTGGAGTCTTTATTCAGTTTCCTACAGAGCTGTTGTTAGACACTTTTTAATCAAAGAATTTAATAGATAAACCTTTACCTTTGGCTACTGCCAAAAGCGCTGTGTTTTATTTAAGCAGATTCCAATTGTTCTGGTAGTGACACACATTTTGCTTTAAGGATGTGGGATGTGTGGGTATCAGCATATGAAGGCTTGCAAACATCTCTGAGCTTGGCAAAAATGCTCAGTAAAGGAGCTTCATTATCCTTGTCTGCTTCTTAATTTCCCTAGCAAAGATACTTATTTCTGTTCTTTGTATTTTTTAGTATCCACATCGGGTGCTGCTTTTTTTTTTTTTTTCTACGGATGTAAACTGTGTTTTGCCAGTGCCACAGGACGTTAGGCTTTTACCTACAACTCAAACTCTTCATGTGCGAGAACCTTCGCCACTGCTTTCTGTAACGGCAGAACAGATTGACATGTGTATTAAATGGTGTGAAAATGAAAAGGTGTCCATTGTGCTTCTCTTTCATTTTTTTTTTTTTTCATAAAGTGCTTTTCATCCATCATTCACAGCCGTCTATTCCCAGGCTTTCCTGGGCTTTTTGGTTTTGCGTGTTAAGTTTATTTTCTTCCTATCCCTGGTGGCTATCTGGGTTTACAGAGCAGTTTGTTCCTTACTCATTGTTTTGTCTCCTTTGAGGAAATTGCCAGAGTTTCCATTAGCTTGTAATACTAATAGCTGTGACCTCCTAGGTATCTGCTTGGTTAGAAGGGATTTTTTAATTTGTGGTAATGTAAATATGCTTTGCTTGCAGCCTACAAATTACTTGTATCAGATAAGGCAGGCAGCAATCTAACTTTTCTGCAGCAAGCATAAACTTTAATTATGTTTATGCCATATAATGTAACAGAGGGGGTAAATAAGAGTGATTTTTACTGTTAAGCTTTGTGCATCTGTTTTATTGTTTCAGGTAAGTATGAAATAAATTTTCAGAGTGAGGGCTAGAGGTTATTCCAAAGGCACACATACTCGGGACAGAGAGGTATCTGTGTGGAAATCACATGTTGCTGATTAAAAAGCTGATCATCTTTGCCTAAAGTATTAATTTCTGTCTGCAAGTAACCAAGTTGCAATTGAATAGGCATCTCCTTTTGGCCCCAAGACAAGATGCTGAGCTGCATGGACCTTCCGCCTGACCCAGTGCAGACATTTTTGTGACTGTTGTGCAGAAAACTCGTCGCTTAGCTTGTTGAGGCCACTCCAAATGTGCTAATATTGTCCCAACTTAGACTCTTCTGTTTCTTACCTGCAGGATGAATCAACAGGAGAGATCACCTTCTATATGAAGGGGGCTGACGTGGTGATGGCTGGGATCGTGCAGTACAATGACTGGCTGGAAGAAGAGGTATGGGGCCGTCTTTCCTACGTATGGAGGGTTTCTCGTGCGAGTGTTTTTCTCCTCCCAGGGCAATGCATGACAAAGCTTGTCGATGTGGCAGAGTGGATATAACTGCTAAAACATCTGTGAGTCAGAAGGTCGTTGATCTTGGCAATCCATTGGATTAGTCTTCAGCCAGATATATGTGTAATAACAAGGAAGTCAGGTGGCGAGTTCAACATATTTACTGCAAAATAAAATGGATTTTGCTCAAAACTGATAGCCACTGAAGATCACCAGATTTGTCCTGGGCTTGATCCTGTGTTTGGATTTATTTTATACCAAAAGATCTAATTTCAAAACAACAATTGGCAGCTTTGTACTGGGATGTGTTTGTCAGGGTAGTAGTAATGTTGACACAGAGTTCACAGCAGTAGCTTCGGTTACTGATCTCCCCTCCCCCAACCTCTGGTGTTCAAAGAAGTAATAATACCATGGTCTTATTTTAAAGAGTTTATGGCCAAAAATGCCAAGTCTTCAAATCAAAGGCTTGTGTTGTTTTACTTAGAGAAAATGCAATCAATGGGATTGTTTTTGCCACACTGATACAGCAGAGAGGACGTTTTCGTTTCTGATCACTGGGATAGATTACAAACCATTGCACATCTCCTTTTTTGCTCTCGAGTTTATCTTGCACTTTATCAGATGTTATAGACTCACTGGGCTTGCTCAAATGGGACAGTTAGTTTCTTAACCTGCTATCTGACATTGCTATCTCTGCAATGCTGTGCATAAATCATCTTACTTGAGATGCCGTTTATGGTTTACACTGTGATACTTCTTTCCAGTGTGGTAACATGGCTAGAGAAGGCCTGAGGGTTCTTGTCGTAGCCAAGAAGTCTCTGACGGAAGAGCAGTATCAAGACTTTGAAGTAAGTTTTATGTTTGTTTTTCTTTCTCTGTTTTTAAACAAACAGTCACTGAAGTGATTCTCACAGACCTCTCATGATAATGCCGCCTCTCATCTCCCTGCTCCTTCTGCTAGAATTGTCATTTTTCATCATCTTGCTGTTCTTTTAATCAAAGTGCCTTTTTAAGTGATATGTATGAAACTGGATCGCAGCCAGGGCCCTCCAAAACAGTTCCTGAATCCTGCCTTATAATCTTTTGTGGTTGTAAATTCTGCAAATACTCATCGTTCATTAGACAGGTTGTGTTTGTGCAGGGAAATGTGTTGGCTTTTAATTTTCATTGTTGCATTTGGGCATCCAGGGAAACTACAAACAGCCAGAATGTAACCCAGCCAGACTTCATGGAAACACAGGCTTCATGTGTGGGGTTTGGTAGATGGGTCTCTACACACAGCACTAACTTGCTTACCCCTGGCAGGCAAAACACGGAGGAGAACTGTTTGGTTAAATGCAGAGAAGAGATAGTGGGAATACTTAGGATTCTCTGTTGCCCTTGTTTGAAGATGTGTTAATTGCAGAAGCCGTGGTTAGACCTGTGGTGCAAGGGAGTCACTTCCAGCCTTGCTGCAGGTGTCACTTCAGCAGCTGCTGTGCCCAAGGACGTGTTGTGCACCATGCTGCCCGGCTGCCACGGGACAGGGACAAAGCGACAAAAACTTCCTGAAATATTTTCCGCCTTATTCTGTAACACGCGTCTTGTGTTCGTCAGCTGTTACAGGCAACATCCCAGAATGATGGTTAACAGAGGGAGGTTAACTGGTTAACCCCTTGTGCTGGTTAATCCTGTATTCCCTGAAAAGGCAGGCTGGCTGTGGGAGTGACTGGCTGCGTCTGCTCTGTCCTCAGGCACGCTACGTCCAGGCGAAGCTAAGTGTGCACGACCGCTCCCTGAAGGTAGCCACAGTCATCGAGAGCCTGGAAATGGAGATGGAGCTGCTCTGTCTCACCGGTGTGGAGGATCAGCTGCAGACGGATGTCAGACCCACCCTGGAGACGCTGAGAAATGCTGGCATTAAGGTCTGCCTGACCTAACGTTACTCCTAGCAGGAATACCTAGACCCTCTGGAGTGTGTGGCACTGTCCTACAGATAGCAAATTTAGACAATCTGGGGCCTTGTCAAGGTAAACGTTTCAGCAGGTGCCCTTTGCGAGTGGGAACAGTGGGGCTGGCCACTGCATTTTAAACATGACTGTGGGAACAGAACACGCTGGAAGTAGTAACTGTTAATAACAGAACACATGAAAGCGTGTCACCTTTTGTGCTTTTCTTTCCCCAACACGCTCTGCAGAGCAGCAGAGGGCGTAGGCAGGAGGGGGAGCAGCTACAGGAGACTTTGGGGCCATTGTTTCTTTCAGACGGTCGCACGGAACAGGAGCGGTTTGGATGGGTTTGGTCACTGGTGCACCAACTCCCGTGCTGGGCTTGAAGCTGTGACTGTACATATTTTCAGTAGCCACTAGAGGGGGGCTGAACCAAGAGAATCAGGGACTGGATTTTTTTTTTTTTTTCCAGCTTTCTGGGCTCCTGCCTCAGACTCGGACACGTCCGGCCTGAGCTGTGCTCCATGGTGCGGGAACCGGCGCGGTGCCTGCGTGGTTTGTCTCTCTGCAAACTTGTCAGTCGGTTCCTGGTCTTGCAAAAGGAAAAAAAAATAGGGAACTAAACATTCAGATTTGGGCAAGAAAAGTAGGTAGAGGGTTCTGGTTGTGGTTTCTCTGCTTTAAGCAATAAAGTAAACAAAAATCTTGAGCCATGCCATGAATGCAAAGCAGGGCTGTGTGTTTGGCAGTGAGGTACGGAGTGGAATTCAAGGCTTGGGACAGGCTTCTAAAAGTGCTTTCTCTTTGGAGTCGTCCCTGTAAACAACAGGGACTTCAGCAGAGAAGTGCAATGAGCAGAATCAAAGCTCCGTGGCAGTGTTGTGGCTTTCTCCCCCTGCTGCGCGGTCCAGGCCAGTTATTCCAAAGCAGTTTCATTTTTTTCTCTTCACCTCGGGCGGAGCTGGTGTCGGGGTGTGGAGTGTGTCCTTGCACAGGCAGCGCTGCCGAGCACTCCTTGCGATGGTATGTCCGTTAGGGTATTGCATGCAAGAAGTAAATCAAGAGTGATTCATTACAGGGACCATCTTGTTGAGATCAAGTCTTTTCCAGCCTCAGATTATTAAACAAATAAGTGAGTCTTTGTGTGTTTTTTGTTTTTTGGGTTTTTTTTACAGTTTCATTAAATATTCTTGGGTGATGTCTTGAAAGAACAAAACGAGCAGTGGAAAAAACAAAACAAGCTCTGATATATTTACACTATTGAAGGAATTCCCTACCAGGTTATAACAGGGTATTGCTGCTGAGTATTGCTGCTGACATTACTTTCTAATGCCAGCACAGAATAAAAGGAGCAGTGTGTATTTTTAAAAAAATCTTAAAAAAAACCCCACAACCCCAACCAACTCAGTCTGTTCCAGACGCACACATCAGCAGTGAGCTAACCCCAGTTGCATCATCCACATTTCAGGCAGGGCCATGAGGGATCTTTCTGCAGCAAGGCCTGCTCATTTCAACATACGAGAAATAGCTGGGGTGGGACACATTAACACACGCATACACATTCTTTAGCTTGCATTTTGTGGGTTTATAAGCAGAATCTAGAGACATTGCAGGTGGGAAAAATGTTATACATCGTTTGTAAACTTCTTTTGCATTTCAGCCTCTTAAAGTTTTGCTTTCTTTCATCGATGAGAATTTTCTTGTGTGTTTTAAAATAGGACTCTTTTAGTAAAATTATTTGTTTATATTCTAACAGTCTTTTTGCATGCCTGAACTGTCAGGTGGTACTTCTGGATGTCCTGCAGATGTGGTTGTTAAGTTTTGTATTTAAAACATTAAATATTTGGATTTTAGGTGTGGATGCTGACAGGGGATAAGTTAGAGACAGCCACATGTACAGCCAAGAACGCGCATCTGGTGACACGGACACAGGACATCCATATATTCAGACTAGTGAGTAACAGCCACATACCCCTCTCTCACGACTTTTTCAGGACGCCAAATTCTAGGACAGCTGAGGTGCTGAGATCAGAACTGTTTTCCAGCAGTAGACCCAGAATATTTTTATTTTTTTGACCTGGCTTTCTATCCCCTGAGCTTTTGTTTTACTGACTGTGAATAACTCGGCATGCTGCCTGTCTGTATCACTTTCGCTCCCTCTGAGACTTGTTTGTTTGTTTTTTCACCCCAATGAAGCAAAACCTTCCTCAGTCGCCGTTTTTCTCCCCAGGTGACTAACCGTGGAGAAGCCCATCTAGAGCTGAACGCCTTCCGCCGGAAACACGATTGCGCTCTTGTTATTTCTGGCGACTCTCTGGAGGTAGGCTCCAAACGCCTCGGGCTGTTCAGGAACAGCCCCAAAACACTGGGGATTAATTTTCTTAAAATAAACTTCAATAGCACAACCATCGGTGACGCTTCTGATCTCTGTAAATTAGGTGTGTCTGAAATACTATGAGTACGAGTTCATGGAGCTGGCTTGCCAGTGCCCTGCCGTCGTGTGCTGCAGATGTGCTCCGACGCAGAAGGCCCAGATCGTGCGATTGCTCCAGGAAAGGACTGGCAAACTCACCTGTGCAGTAGGTAAGGGACTAGTTAGGGAGGAGCAACCATGTAGGATGGTGTCTTTACTATTTCTTCTTTTGACTGAACAATCCCATTTCATCTCGTAACAGCTGGAAATGCTGAGTTAGGAAACAGTGGTTTTGTGGGACGATTGACAAGGTGAAATTTTGCATATGTAAACTTCAACGACAAACTACTCACAAATATTTGGGGTGATATTTTTGCAAAACAGAGCTTGAACTTGATCAAGTAAAGTGCCATTGTTAATCCGTGAGCTTTATTTCAGCATCATGGGTATAATGGTACACCCACAAGGCAGATAAAGTGATCGGTGACCTGTGGGTCTATTAAAAACAAAACAAAACTTGCTAAAGAATTTAAATTCATTATTTCTGTTTAAAATCCTGCTTTTGTTGATAGGGTTAAATGTTTCTTCTAATATTACAGTCTGGTGCAGATGCCTTTGGTGAGGTTGCAAATTGCCTCTGTTGCTTAACTACCGATGTCGTTTGTCTGTGCTCTGACCTGCAGGTGATGGAGGGAATGATGTTAGCATGATTCAGGAGGCTGACTGTGGTGTTGGAGTTGAAGGAAAGGTGAGATTACCTCACTTACTGTTTAGTAAGACTTACTATGGCAATTCAGGAGCTAGTTTCCAACTAACTCTTAAATGAATCCTCAGAAATTTGTGCAAGAAAGTGAGACGCTTCCACAAGAATAATCATTAGAAAAATATCACGAAAAATAATTTGGCTGGAAAGGAGAGTACTGTTTAACAGAGTTGAAGTTCACTGTTTGGTGCTTGGCAGATTGCCTGAATTTAGACCATCATGGTTAGTTTTGGGGTCTTTAATCACGCATAGATGCTCCCAGTGCTAGAGTTGTAGGGTGTATGTTATCAGAGTAATCACATGTACGATTAAAAACTGGTTATATTAGTTTAGAAAGCGAACTCTGGATTAGAGCTTTGGTTCCTGCATATGGAGCTGCTTGGAGTGACAAGACTGGATTTGGCGGCAGTGGAAAGACTCTGCTTGCAGTGAGCCAAAACATTAAAATCGAGTGAACTTTTGAGACTGAAAATTTGTGTTCAAAACTGACTTGATTTGAGTGTCACGTTAACATGTGTGTTGTGAATCATAATCCAGAGAGTTGCTTAGAATTGGAGGCCAGGGTTCAAATGGGAATTCTCCTCATATTTTTGCTCTTTACTTAAAAGCCACGGTGGAAGGCAGAAGTGCTGAGGTAATGCTCTCCCCCACCTAACGTATTACAAATTTTCTTGGAGATTCTGTCAGCGATAACTAAATAATAATACGATATTTCTTTGTTTCCAATAATGAAATGATCTCACTCTGCTTTTGCTTGCTGTTGTACACAGGAAGGAAAACAGGCATCGCTTGCGGCTGATTTCTCTATCACTCAGTTTAAACATCTGGGTCGTTTGCTAATGGTGCATGGAAGGAACAGTTACAAACGGTCTGCAGCTCTCAGTCAGTTTGTAATCCACAGGAGCTTGTGCATCAGTACAATGCAGGTAAATGGACTGTCGTGAGGGCTTTTCCAACGGAGAGGTGAAAAAGCAAAATCAAAAAATAAAGGTTCTGCATTTTATTTTGGATGCAACTGTTTCTTCTGAAAATTTTCATGGGTTGGAACTTGAGGTTGTTACTTGGGTTTGAAAACATATAAGGAAGTTCCTGGTGTCGGACAAACATCAGCAACTTCTCCAAAATTGGACAATGTTTTACTTTAGAAAACAATGCTGTGATGTAGCATGTCTTTGCTGTCATTTAGTAATGCTTGGAAACACTGAAAATCTGAAGCAGGGCACTGCTCTTAAGGAAGGTCTCTGCTAAGTGCAGTTCTTTTCAGGCGTGTTTAAGTAAGGCCTTCCAATAGTGAGACCAAAGTTAAGCAACTGAGAAGGACATGGCTCAGGCCTTGATGAGGTTACCCAGAGCTCGGTCTGGTGTGCTGCGAGGGTTTGCAGGAGCCGTGCCGCGAAGGCGGCCGAAGCACGCGTCAGCCCTCCCCGGCGCTCGGCAGGCAGCGTGCTGCCCGACGTGGAGGCGGCCTGTTCCTCTCCAGTTCAAAGGGAACCTTAGAAACAGATTCAGTATTCACAAAATTTACATCGTTCATGCGTGCTGAGCCTCAGTGTAACAAAAACGCAATTGCCAGTTGGCAGGGAGAGTTGAAAAAGTTTTTTAAGAGTTCATGAGCCAAATTCCGTTCTTAGCTGTGGTGACTTGAGTGAAAGTTACAGTTAAGGACAGAGGTTACTCTTTGGGTGTTGCATTTCCGTGCCATAATGTACTGATATGTTCCTTAAAAATACAAATTTTTTTTTAAGTAAAATGCTTGATATTTTTGACAAGGTCGGTTCCACCCTCTCCTCTTTTTAGAATAAACGTGTTGGAGAGGGATGCATAGAGACAAAAATTTCAGACTCAGGGGACAGTCCAGCTTACTCTGCAGCTGAAAACAAGAACAAAAAACAAATCCATAACTTCTGACAAAAAAAAACAAAACAACTTTTTGGAGTTAACTCTTTATGTTGTGAAGGCATCATCCAGGCATGAAGAAGTACGCACCTGTCCTTCACAACATCTGGATGGCTTTGATCAAACCAGTGGGCTTTGGAGAAAACTTTATGTTCTTTTCTGAGGAATTACGTTACAAAAAGTTTTCCAAGTCCAGCTCTCCAGTGTTTGCTATTAAACATAGCTTTCATCCAAGGTTTGCATAGGAATAAAAAGGGTTGATACTAAATTCTTCTGTCTTCCTTTCAGGAATTTGAAGAACCCACTTCAAGTATGTTCCAGTTTGAACAGAGTATATTTTTAAGCTGTTACTTTTACTGCAGTGTCTAACATCTGAAAAGCTTATTTCTTTTCTTTTCTAGGCTGTTTTCTCATCAGTATTTTACTTTGCTTCAGTTCCTCTCTACCAAGGCTTTCTCATCATTGGGTAAGATCTCATTTTTTACTAATAGTGTGGAAAACCTGTGTATAACAAAAAGATTTGGGCTAATTAACATGCAAGGCATGCATATCTCCTCTCTGCGTGTTTCACAACACTGCTTCAGAAGATGTATGTGATCCTTGTCCCCTTTCTGCTGCTCTACACTGAGCAAAGCCGCTGAGGCAGCACAAGGACTTCTAGAAACCTTTCCGAAAGGACAGTTTGTCACATTCAGAACATGAGAAGCAAGCCATCCTCCAGGAAGTGCTCCTTCAGTCCTAGCAAAAAGCAGAGGGACAGTCATTATGCTCTGGTGCCTGGTGCCTATGCCAGTGCCCAGCTCTGGACAGTGTCAGAAAGGAGAGATAACCCAACCTCTTTAACAGAAGGAGTCAGTTCCTGTTTTAAATATACTGAGATTACACATGTAATCCTGTGACTTTATAGACTTTCGAGTACATGATTAAAAAACGAACAGCAAATTAATCTCCATTGCCTTCTAATGCAAACAGGATTAAGCCTGAACTGTAGAGCAAACTTTGGGGTGGGGACAGATCTGTCCTTGGCTCCATTAATAACTCTATAACACCGGTTGCAATACTCGAACCAATCATCCATGTATGAGTGTTTCTAATGAAAAGCCATTCCGAAAGCAAATCCTGCAGGTTTTTCCTACATGCAAAACTCTGTATGTTCCATTTGCAAGTTTTCATAATATTTACATCATTTTGCACTTCAAGAATACTGTGTTTCCTCTCTGAAGACTAGCATTTCTGTTTGCTCATCTACACCTTAGATAATTTGTCTTCTACCTCCTTCCCAGGTACTCCACAATTTACACAATGTTTCCAGTGTTTTCTCTAGTCCTGGACAAGGATGTTAAATCTGAAGTTGCAATGTTGTACCCAGAGCTCTACAAAGATCTTCTTAAGGTGTGGGAGACTCTTGTTTGTCTTTTTTGGTTTAAGGCAAGATCCCTGTCTTGATTTGAAACTCTCTAAATGTGTAAAGTCGAATATATTATCAGTAGATAGAAAACTTTATAATCTGTTTTCAAGCAAAATTGTTTTAAAGGCAAATTTGAATTAACAGATACAACTCGATTTCCTGGCAGTTTGTTATTGAATGCTACATGAAATGCAATTTATTAAAAACGGCTGGGGAAACAGAGCTTCCATTCTGTGGGAAATTCTAAGGATTTAATATTACTGATTTGTTCCAAAATAAAGGGGAAGAGAAATTGTCGGGGATTTGGCACTATCCCAAAGCCAGAAAAGGGGATGGGGAGAGGGATATGCTCATTTGGTGGAGGGAGGAGATTATCATATAGTTTCTTGAATAGAAATTTGCCTTGAGGATGATCTAAAGGGACCTACAGGTTTGGTTGCTGTACCATTTTTGTAGCTTTAGCATGAAAGTCAGGTCCTTCTCCTTAAGACAAAGAAACTTTATTTGATGTTTACCATTTTTTGAGAAAGTGGGGTATGCAGACTGGGAACATCTTTCTTAATCGAAGGAAAGGGTGGACTGACTCTTCAACAGATCCTTTCCCTCAAGGATTTCTGTTAAACAGATACTCTCGGAAGCAAAGCCTGTTTTTCCAACAGCCTGAATAAGTCTCCATCTGGTTTCACTTGTATGTTGTCTCTTATGTCATAAACCACTAATTCTCCAACCATCCTTAGGCCTGGTCTAAACATAGGGGTTTTTTATACTGGTATAGCTGTGTTGGCTCTAGATGCTTTTTAAAAAACCTATCTGCCTTCAATATGATCATGATTTGTGTGTGTGTCTAGAAATATAATATTAATATATTCATACATATGTGTATACACACATTTTATATTTCACAGTACAATGACTAAACTCATGAGACATCTTTGCATTGAATTAATTGCGCGTGCAGTAAGGATGAGGTTGTACTGTACTGTGCAAGCAGTGAGCTTCCACAGTCCCAGGCCTCCTTCGTGCATCATGAAAAATGAGAATAAAGAGACATTACCTCAGGGTTGGTTGATTTGTTTTGTTTTCTTTCCAAATCACCTTCAAATTCTCTTTTATTATTTGCTGGGTTGATCTGTAAGTGAATGTTCATAAAAGAAAACCCAACGGAGCTTTGTCTGGTTTTTTTTCTTCCCCCTCCAGGGACGACCATTATCATACAAAACATTTTTAATATGGGTCTTAATAAGCATCTATCAAGGTAAGAAATCAACTTCTGCTTGTGCCTTTAGATGTTTTATTAAGAGTACAGAATATCTAATTTGAGAAGTTAAGTAAGGCATGAAGTGAATTTAGCATTGCATTTTTGGGATAGCAAATAAATGTGGGTTTTTTTCTCAGAAAATGTTGGCAGGATTACCAAAGGAAGAAATTATCTAAAACTAAATATTGGCAGCAACTGGTCAAACCTGTTGTAGGCAATGATGTAGAATTCCGAAGTGTTGTGCCTCTTCCCATTGGGACCATCCTTTGTAATTTTGTGCAAGTTCCTTTCAGTGCTTTAATTGCTCCATCTCTAAAGTAGAGTTTGTGACTCTTCACTTCTTTTGAAAAAGGTTTTCAAACCTATGGATTATACAGGTTATTAAGTCAGCATGAAAAATACAGAACCTGTAGCTTTGTGTATTTTATCTAAACTCTGTCTATTAGAAGTGACAATAATTCTGGTTACTTCATAGCCATCTGTAATGAAGGACTAGGGTAGAGCTCAGGTTCCTGATCATATCCCCCACACTCTAATGAAACTGCTAAAACAGTTAAGCAAATACCTTAATTGCAATGCATCTGTTTTCCAAAAGTGGATGCAGTAATTGGGGTACATTTCTAAGAAGGTCTTTTCTTTCCATTTGTCTGTTTTGATGAAGTAAGCTCAAACTCAACTACTTCTTGTAAGTGTTAATGAGGAAATCATGGAAAACATGTAAATAACATTTAGCTATAAAGCTAAAATGCGAATATGATTGCGTGACAAAATTTCTTGTTTTCCAAAACTCCTTTATCAACAAGAGTCAGAATAAATGTGCCCAAATAAGCAGCTAATTCTTATTGATTTAATTGATATTACCATCCTCGGTAGGGAGTGAAATCAAGAATATAAAAGCTCTCTTGGCATTATCTTCTGAACTCTAATACAGTAGAAGCCTACGACAGGGATAATGGTCTTCTGATGCTGTACAAATATGATGGCAAAGCCAAGGCATTTATAGAAAACTCAGAAGTGGTGGAAAGCTAAAGCCAGAGGGTGATGCATTGAGGGAAAGATTTCTTCTTGAGGGAAAGACCACTATCTGGTTACAATATTTGGTTAAAGTGACTTCACTTCTCATGTGCTAAATAACTAGAAAACAGCAGGCCAAACAATTGGGCTAGTTGCTAGCAGAGATGAGCCTGACCGAAAACTTGAGCAGTCCTAAATTTTGGAAAGTTCACAGCTGGATTTGAACTTTGTGGCTCAAGCTCTAGTCGCTCACAGGTTTTCCCTTCCGAAACTAGCCTAGTGTGATGGATGTTGGTGCAGATTACTCATGCTGCTAACATGAGTTATTTGTGCAGGTGGCCGTGCGGGGTGTTGTGAGCATTCCCTGGCTAGCCAGAGTAGGAGCACGAAACAATGCATCATTAACAGTGCTTTAATGTGTGCTGCTTTTAGGGGGAAGTGTAAAGGGAAGAGAACTTGGCCAAAGCAGTGCAAAGAGAGGCTAACTTGTATCCACTGAGTTTTTCAACACCTTGCTTCCAGCTGGGCACAGAGACAATGCAGTAGGTTTTAGAAGTATTTGATGTCTTTTAGCTTCTGAGTAGGGACCAACTGCTTTCTGGGAGGATAGAGTTTCATGATGTTAGAAATCTCGTTGCCAAAATAGCGTGTATTAATTTCCTATCTCCATGTGTCTATGAATCTGATAGACTGTTATAAAAGTCTGGGCACCTCTGCTGTAACTTTTCCCTGTCTTCTCATCGGTTCTGTCTCCTAAATAGTAACTGATGTGTTGTCATTACATTCATCAGGTTTCATGAGAAGCAATCTCAAGACATGACTATGTTTCAGCCTTTCCAAGACTTAGCAGTGGGTTTTAAAGCTTAGACTGATGTTTGAATAATATACCCAAATGTTTCATTCCTTTGCAGGTAGCATCATCATGTATGGAGCACTCCTCCTCTTTGAATCCGAATTTGTCCACATTGTTGCCATTTCTTTCACATCCTTGATTCTCACCGAGTTACTGATGGTGGCGTTGACGATCCAGACGTGGCACTGGCTCATGATAGTGGCTGAGCTGCTTAGTCTCTCCTGCTACATAGCTTCTCTGGTCTTCTTACATGAGTTTATTGGTAAGGTTAAATGCCTTTTCTCCAAACAGTTGGTTTATGACCTGAACAGTAACAGGACTGTAAAGACCTGAATTGAGCTTAAAGGCTGTCGATGAAGCCAACATAATTAAAATGTCAATGCTTCTAACCAGAATAAGCTCTATTTGATTCAGAGGCACATGAAGGACGTTTTATGGTTCCTCCTCATAGCAAAATGCTACGGGAGGTCAGTAAAATGTGCAATGCTGAGTGAATCTCATCCTAACTTTCAGAGATCCATCACGCATCGGCTGTCATGTAGTGATGGTCTTTATTTCCATATGAGAACTAACTTGAGACTAAAAATTTGAGCCTCTGTTGTTGGGTTGAAAGATTTTATCTTCTAACTGGGTGAAGCAGCTGCTTCCTAAAACTTACCTTATTTTATCTGCTTCATTGGGGCCCTTCTCTTGGGGGTTTGGGATTAATTTTTTGATTGGGGGAGTTTTTTTGTTGGTTTGGGGGGAGGGGGTGTTCTTTTTTTTTTTTCCTCCGGGAACTGAGCTAATCCTTTTCCCTGGCTAAAAGAGAAAGGGTGAGGAATTCCACATTCCCCCAGTAGCTGTCTAGTTGCAAATATCAGATCCGTAGGGTTTGTTCCAGTTTTCTTTTGGGAACCACAAGATGTCACTACTTCTTCCATAAAGATCTTTGCTAACTCTAAAGACAACAAGGTTAACTTCCCACTGGGCTAGATCTGTGTCTCTCGCATATAGGAGTACCAGCTCCATTTTGAACAATGCTTCAACTATTTTGCAATGGTTCTGAGGTATTATAACTTGAGTCGAGAGATGCATTTGCTGGACTACCAGCAAAGTAGCAGGTGGCAACTTCCAGAGTGAGAAGACAAGTAGTCCATTTAAAAGAAGCTTAGTATTAGCAGGAGATGGATATCCCTGTTTCACACGGGGTATGTTTGGGCACTTGCCTGTGAGGAGCTGCATGCCTTACTGAAATGTGCTGTGCAGAAAGCTGTGTCTTTTCTGGAAGAGAAGGGGAGAAAAGTGAGGAACAGGGGATTGTATGAGATTCAAACTTGCATGTGGAGAAGGTGAGGCTGTTTAAGAAGACTTAGTAGATTGAATTGCTTTTCTGCAATAAAAGTTCTGAAGTACTTCCCGTCTTTATCGACTTTATACTCTCTTCTTTACACAGATATTTATTTCATTGCAACTTTGTCGTTCTTGTGGAAAGTCACCGTCATCACTCTGGTGAGCTGCCTTCCCCTCTACGTCCTGAAGTACCTGAGACGAAGGTTTTCTCCCCCAAGCTATTCGAAGCTCACGTCCTAGGGCTGCTCTCCTTGCACACGAGAGACAAATATTGCACATGGCTGAGAGACAAAATCATGTAGTTGTTACTATAATGAATACGTCTGATATTTGCATAAGAATCATGTGGTAATCTCTATTACATGCTGCTTCGTTGAAAAAGACTTCACAACTGCCGTGAACAGAAACCTAACAATAAAAGGGAATTTTCTGAGGGTGGAGGCACTTGTTAGTTCATCCAGTTCTTGTCACTTTGGTTCAACTTAACCGGGGTCAAATGCATGTGACTGTGATGTCGATGGGTTTCTTATGCATGGTTAAAAGTATCTGAAAGCTGCTAACTGACCTTGGAATTGGTATTTGACAAATTTAAGTTACTTGCATTGTGTTATGTTGTTTTATATTATTTATCTTGTTGATTCAAGTAGTTAACTTCTTTTTTACATCTTGGAAATCCCTTTATGTGGGTGATGCACTATACTGCTGACAGCTGATTCCTGATTTATGGCATGCTGTTTCCATAATGGGGCTCCAGCATGTCGGATCTACACACACTTGAGAATCTGAGCGTGTTTGAGATTTTCCTGCAGTGAAACATGGTCACCCTAGTGATTTTGAAGGTGTCCAGCCATTGATAAATACAGAGAAATGTAGTCCAAAATGAAGAAATTCAGTTCTGTTTAGCTTTTGTGCTTCCTGTCAAAAGGACCTGGTGACATAATAGCTTTACTCTATACTTATTTGTGTAGGAGAAAATTATCTAAACTAAAGCAAATCCTCTTTGGAAAATAAATTTGCAGTTGATCAGACTTGAAATGTGTCGAAAACGTGAGAAGAGGCTCGTACTGTTCTGCAGACAATGTGGCAGACGTGTCTTGAGTCCTTGGAGACTGAAAGGAAAGGTCACAGAGCTGCTGCTCCTCATAGCTACATGAAATCTGTTTCCTGTTAGGGTGAAACTGCGAAGATGAGCTGCAAATAAGCTGAGGCACTCCTAGGTGGATGTTGTTCGTGACAGGCTCCCTGCAGGGAGGCAGTTTTTGAGAACGTAGCACTTGCTTTGCTCTAAAAACCAAACTTGGATCACAGGAGTAGGGTTCATATGAAGGCATTGGGCTCGTGTGCAGAGCAAATTTGTGTATTTATTTTTAATTTTCAAAAATCAAACTCAATGAGTTCTGTTTTTATAATAAGCATTGGCCCACATTGTAATACCACGAGGAGAGCAACGCATGTCGAGGCTGCTCAGGAGAATGACAGACTTACGGGAACCTTTTACCATTGGGTCTGTGCATCAAACGCGATGAGCTTTTAGTGGCAGCCATCCTCTAATGGCTGTTTAGTCTGTGCTGAATTAGTTGCTTGCTGTCTCATTCCCACATCATAAAAACCACTGTCAGAGCTGGCACCACTTGGTGCCGTTGTTGTTTGGCTGCGTGGAGGGACCAGGAATGGCAGAGCCCAGAGCCTGAGCTGCCTTCTCCTTTCTCAAGGCCACCCTTCCAGGTCAGGGCAACCATGCTGGTGCAAGGAGCAGAAGCTCCCTGGTCATCTCTGTGCCGTGCTGAACCTCTGTAATGGACTGCCAGCTTCTGCTGCCGTTGCTACAGGTGTTCCACTGTTGCAAGGAGCACAATGCTGCGTAGAAAGGTCTGGAGTGAAAATCAGTGGAAAAATGGGAGTGTTATTTTAAAAAGAGCCGAAGTCTCCATTGACCCACAGTGGTACATCTTGAATTTTCAGATCTAAGATATCTGTGGCTTCTGTGGTCCATGTGTGGTAATTGCTCTGGGGAATGTTTTGTATGACCTGACCTGCCTTCCTTGCTCTCGGTTCTTGTGAGTAAATATCAAAGAGGGGAAGCAAGTTCCAGAAGGTTTAGAGAAAAATTGAATATTCTTCATATTGCATGTGGCTCAGGGTGAGAGGAAGGTGCAAGTCTATATGATCTTGTTATTTCACGTGGGGGAAACTCCTTTAATTTAGAAAACTATGTTTCAAAATCCTTCAAGAGCAAGAACAGCAAACTCTCTTTAGTCTAACTTGCTGTTTTTTCTTTTGTGCCAGTCTTCTGATTAGGCTCTCATCTGAAGTCCCCATATATACCAACTGTCTTCAGAAACAACCTGCTGGCTAAGGAAACTTAACTCTTAGTATTCACCTTTTCATAGGATTTTGAAAATTTGCCTTTTTTTTTCCTTTTCTCTTCTATTATTTTTTCCCTAAAAATAATAACGATTTGTATTTCTGCCTGTTTGACACACATGTTCATGTTGGGAAAGGCCGTAGAATTACAACACTTCTTAGTGCTTTGTCTCACAGAGGAAAAGCAGTGCCTGAACAGCCCGTTTGTGGGGGATTTGGGCTAACAGCCTTCTATGAATTATGCCACTTTACCAAAAAGATACTTAATATCGTCTTTATCATGACTTGCTACAGCTTGTGGATAGTGTCGGCCATGCAGGTGTTCTGGAAGTCCACAGTCAGCATTTGATTTAAGTATACTTAGAAGAATCAAGAATTTGTTTTGGCAGCTTCTTGTGACTGAGAAGTCAAGTCTCTCTTGTCCTTTGGCAAACACATCGCAGTACACATCTTTGTAAAGCCCTGTCCCTATCTAGTGTGTATTAGTAGTTAAATGTCCTGCAAGAATAACAGTGCCATGCGACTGTATGTAAATATTTGAGACGTATGTATGGTAGAATTCACTGTTTCCTGAAGTCAATACAGTTTACACTGAGTGGACCATATTTGCAAAATACTAGCTTACACCAAGAAAGGGGGTGAATTGTGATTTTGGTTATATTTATTGAATCATAACTTTAACAAGGAATGCATATTTAGTGCAATTGATAGTAGTCTGTGGCTGTGTTTTGGCGTGCAGATTATGTTCCTTTGCAGCTAGTTTTTGCGTTTGGTTTTTTTTTTTTTTTTTCACAAGGTTGTATATCCAGGAGGTAACTTTTGTCTGGCTATACACTGCATTTTTTTAAAGCAATCAGAAAATTAAAACTGCCATCTAACAAACAGCAAGAAAGAGGAATGATATTTGTATTTTTCAAGTTTAGCACTTTATGTCTGCAATCTATTTCTCTTAAGTTATTTAAAAAAATGTTTTTAAAAGCAAAGTTTGATACATATGTTCATACTTACTGTACATTCGAATAAATGAATTATCTGCTGAAAATTTAAATTAATCTTTTTCCTCCAGTATGCTCATAATTTGGGCTTATTGAGAGTGAAGCGTTGTTTTCTTCTTCTATGTAGTATCTTGTTTGTAGCCTTACTTAGTGTTCTTCCTATTCCTTTTGTCTGTTTGTTCTGGTTTATGTACTGTTAGCAGTTCATACGACTTGTGTGCTGTGGGACTGTGCTCCAGGTGATGCTGTGGGGGAGCGGTGTCTGTCCCACAGTGTGCTCTTGCTTCCCGCGGTGGCTTTAGGGCAGCCGACGCTCTGTGCTGTGCTGCTGCAGTGCTTAGTTAACGTGGAGGTTTTGTGACATGCACTGTTCTCTTTCTGCATCTCTGCAGTAATTCCAGGTGTGTCACAACCCTCTTCATTTATTTATTTTTTTCTTTAACTCTTATATTTCTTTCCTCTGTAGAGCTTGTCCTGTTTATCTTTGCAAACATTTGTTTTGCTCAGCTCATAGGGCAATTGAAATGCAACATTCTTTATTCAACAGCAGCAGCTTAAATCTGGGCACGGTCTTATCAGGACTGGGCAGGGGAGTGATGAGTGACATCTCTGGTGTCCCCTCAGTGTTGAGAACTATGTGCTGAGAGCTACAGCTGTGGCGGGACCAAACTGAGCAGCACCAAAGGCGCTGGTTGTCTGCGGTCTGCTGAACTATCACAATGAAATGCCAGGACAAACTCATCCTCTGTAACTGCTGACACAAATTTCACTGTCGTTGAGCTGAGTTTGTCAGGGAGCCCCAGAGTTAGATGTGTGAATCCCTAAAGCTTGTCTTTTGGCTTTGTCTTTTGAAGAGAGCTGCTGCACCGTCTGCTGCTGCGTAGTTGGCACCGGCAGTGCGTAAGCCGGGCTCGCGAACTGCTGTTGCGTGCAGCTCACCAGCACAAGCTGTGTGCACACAACTGTTTGGATGGGGTTTGCCTCATCTTCACGGTTGCTGGGGCCAGTCCAGTGCCCACTAAAATTTTCAGCGTGAGCTGGATGGGCTGTTTCAGGGTTTTTCATTTGTTATTAGTTATTTTGTAAGTAAATTAGAGAGTAAAAAACCTCTGGTTTGCATGAAATCCTGGGTTCTATAGCTTTGCCAATATGGTCCATTACTACTGCCTACTACAACTTGTGTACTTATATGCCTTTGAGAACATTTTTAATTGTTAAAATTGTTAAAAAATAAATGTTAAGTTAATTTAATTTTTAATTGGGGAAATAGATTCTGGTGTCAAAATGATAGTTAGTGTGATGCCGATGTTTTGTACCTGTCGTCTAGTTAAACAACATGTAAATACTCTTGATTCAAGAGAAACATGAATGCCAATTATTTATTGTTCTGTGGAGTTATATGTTGCAGATGTGTAAAAACTTAAAAGGGAATGTTGTAAAACAAGGTGGAAAAATAAATTTTATGCAACTTCTTTACTTCATCCATATACACCATGTATGATGCACCAAAGTTAGTCCTGGCATGACCAGTCCAAGATGTATTTTGACAGAATTGTAAGTATATAGGCTAAGTTGCATTGTGGCCCTTTAACTTGGCTAGATGGGAAATGCATATGCGAGAAACGGTCAGTACTTTTTGCTGATCAGTGTAGACCTGCTTCATTAAATTCTTTACTCTAAACAGTTTTCTAACTGTCTTAACAGGAAGGGGTTTTCGGGGGTGGATTTTGGTTGGTGTTTTGTTTGGGTGTTTTTAAAGTATTGGTGTAAGCTTTTGCTGCCCTTCACTTGGTCAATGACTCCTTGCAAGATTGTTTTCTGCCAGTCATTGCAATGTAATGGTGTAGATTAGCTGTGTGGGGCACAGAAGCTGCTGCTGGG